TGCTCTATTGTCAGTTCTGAGCATGACAAGATACGCTCCGGAGAAGCTTCTGCACTATTGCATTTCATGCAGTAATTGAAAAATTTTTGTCCATTTTGAAATTTTAAGGTTTTTATATGACCACTTAGTCTTGCTAAAGCTGTTTGTTGATTTCTATTGAGTTTTTGAATTTATTTTGATAGAAATATTTAATACCCAATATCTGAGTTGGCGGATATATGAATTTATAAAATAATTGGAGTGTTCCGACTTGCTCTATTGACATCATATGTATTCCGGTTGCTATGAGATGGTTGGTCACATCCCTCTCTAGGCCATCTGCAGAAATGGAGGCCTCTGTGAGGCAGTCCGACCTTGCAAATTTAGCCCGTTATCGCCCAAGATCGGCAGCCTTTTGGTTCATCAGTCAAAGGCCTTAAAGGAAAACCATCGGGCTAGCCAATCAATCGAGGCGATGTGGCATATTTACATATTTACGGGGAAATCAGGGTTACCAAAAGTAAATGGCTTTCTCGGCGAATCGGAGGCGAAATCAATTTGGGGACGATAAAATCTGCCCAATTAGTTGGCTCCCTCTGCGGCGAATAGTAATTCCGCTGGCGAATCCATCACTCCGGATTAATATGTCAGCATCATTTGTCACGGCTGTCCCACTTGGACACGGGTCACATCCCTCTCGCTAAATTCTGTCGCATAATCGCAGAAGGTCGGCAAAAAGTTCCTTAATATTGGCGGGTGGAGAAGTATTTCGGCCCAGTGTCGTTTACTTGCTTAATGAATGCTTAGCCGATGGGAAATCCTGTCGGCTTTGGATAGCTCACGTAAGCTCGATTTTGGAATGCTCGTGCATTAGGTGAATCTTGAAATATTTCGACAGCTTAGAAATAATGGCCGTTGCCAATTTTAGAATAGTATAAGTTTCATTATTTTTGGTTTGTTCACAATAGAGTTATCTTGATAATGGTGAGAGAAGATTCTATACGTGGTTAGCAAGCGAGTGGTTAAGATTTTTCTCCGAGGAAAGTTGGAAAAAAGTTTCCGCTGAATCTCAATGGCGAAGATTGTCCACTGAAGAAATCCGGAGAATATAATACGTGTGCTCTCATGTTACAGTGTACGTGGGGAGCGTAGAATATTGTCTTCTGCAAATTGGGAAATGGTGTTGTCGAGATTGGATAGCCTGATAATGGGTTCAAACTTCAAATTCAAACTTTTGTGGAGTGTAGCACAGGTCCTGACCTATAAAATAGACCACACGCTGTAATCCATCGGGTTGAGATCGGGTGAGTAGGGCGGTCATTCCGCCGACGTGATGAAGTCCGGAAAATGGGTCCTGCCCCAGTCCTGCGTCAATTTCGTCTTGTGAACCAACGCGGAGTCCTTCTGGAAGGTCCAATTCGCATTGCCGAAGTTCTGTTGAGCCCACTGGAGTACGACGGTCTTGGGAATGTCGCGGCGATACACTTCTTGGTTGATTTTGACCCCTTGATCCACGAAGGGAGGTCTTGTTACTGGCGCAAATCCCGGCCCATACCATAACCGACTGCGGATTTTGGTGGTGTTCGATGATGGTCGACTTTCCGGAAGCCTCGGCGGACCATCTCCTGTCGTTTTGGTGGTTGTGCGCCTGCTCGAGGGTGAACAGTTTCTCGTCCGTGAAGAGGATGCGCTCCCATCGCTGACCAGTGGCCCGATGCTTGAGTTGGCGACATCTCTCCAGCCGTGCGACAAAAAAGCTCTTCCATATTTACTCTATGTCCTGTTAAAATTTCAGCCGGATTAGCTAGGCATTAAGGGCGTGCATAGCCGACATACATTGACTTTTATAGATAGAGAGAGAAGATGACACTAAAATATATATTTTTGGCCAGGAAGTGTCCTCTATAACGAGAAATACGAGTACCAGCGGCCAGGAAATCTCGTTCTGTAAGATGTCGGATTGTTTTTTCGACTCCTGCGTGGAATCCGCCAGGGTCCTGAATACCGCGGTAGAATTGAGAGAAAGAGAGAGTCCATTGTGCCAGTTGACCCACAGAGACGGAATCACTTACTGAGCCAATATTTACCTCGGCTCTGGCTGAAGTATGTCGTGCTGGCCATTGGACGGTCAGTTGCCCTAGTCCTGGATGTCACGGCATCTAGTGACATCTTCACCTATCACATCTGATGTAACTTTGCTTGTCACGGACATATTCAACTGCCACGTTAACATCCATAGAGCATTTGTAAGGACTGAATATTACCTCAGGGATGGTATCTATATTCACAGTTTTTTTTTTATATACAGTTAAACCTGTCTATAGCGCCCCCTCTAAATAGCGCCCGAGTTTAAATATGTATTACGATGCGATATATACATTAAAAGTGACCTGTCTATAGCACCCCCTCTCTATAGCACTCTATTTAGATGAGTCCCAAGAGTGGGCGCTATAGACAGGTTTAACTGTTTGTTTGTTTTTATAATGTTCTATTATGAAATGTGACCCTCAAATATTCCTCTCTTATATATTTAATTAATGTATTAAACTATTGAAACCAAAATAAGCATAACCTGACCGCGCTCACATGAACCTTTTTTAAATGGCAAAGCAACATCTTTTTTATTTAATTTTTAAAATTATTTTTTTTTCACATTACACTTTATTTGGGGCCGTTGTGGCCATGTATAATACTGTTTTATGTACCTATGAATATACAGTTAAACCTGTCGCCCCCTCTTGGGACTCCCCAAAATAGGGTGATATTGTAGAGTAGAATAAATTAAATAGAATTCGATGTTGAGATTAAATATAGTTTATTTAAAGTAAGGTTACAAAGAAGAGAATAACGGGAGCTCGCGCAGTATGTTTACAAATGGCAGCCAAGAACCACCTCATCCGCGCATGCTCCCACTGTTCCACTGCGCGCGCACCTCCCGGGCCTCCCCCCGCGCATCCTTTCCAAATGGCGATGCATTCATATTTCACAATATAGACAGGTCACTTTTAATATAAATCGCATCGTACTACGTATTTAAAAATCGGGCCCTATAGAGAGGGAGGCGCTATTTAGAGGGGGCGCTATAGACAGGTTTAACTGTATGATGGTGGGAATATAAAATGGTTACAAAGTGCATAGATGAATCATTGCATATCATTATATTGGGATTTACACCAATACTTGGTGCAGCAAGTATCGAGGGAGAACAAAGGCAAGCTGACCCTCGACGCTCTATTCATCATGCCCGTACAGAGGATTCCCCGCTACGAACTTCTCCTCAAGGTACGTAGGTCCAGTGGACTGGGAGTCCGGGGTATGACCATCGGTCGATGTCCAGGAGCTGATGAAGCACACAGCGGAGGATCATCCGGACCGGCCGTTACTGGGTGCCGCCCTGAGGGAAGTCCATCGACTAGCGTTGGCCATGGAGGAAGGCGGTGGAGGACTCCGGGGGCTGGAGCAACTCATTGAGGGGGCCGTGGACGTAAGTCACTCACAGCCTCCGTAACTGACCTTCAGTTTGATATTGTGGTGGTCTGTAGCTTGCCCACCCTGACCGTGCCTTCCTCTGCCACTCTCTCGTCACTATCCCGGTAAGTCCTCTCATCTCATCTAGCAACCTTTACCTTTGTAGAACGAAGTTTGACAACAATACCGCAAATGTTTATTTTGAACGAAAAATCGAAATTTATTTTAAGGAGAAATAACGATCATTTCTAACATTAGGAATGAAGTATGATAGGATGAATTGTGAAGAGTAATGATAAACGGAAAATAAAGTATCCAGGGATAGGAAAATTCCCGGCCCGGGACACTTTATTTTTCCGTTTTATCATTACTCTTCACAATTCAGCCTTTACCTTCTTTCAACACAACGCAATATCTTCTATTTATGGTGATTGAAAGTCATCCTTTAAAAAATATATAGTAAATATGACATTTATCACTGAAAATATCGAATAAAAACACACACTTACCGTGCGGATTGTGCAGAGAAAATTATTAACCATAGAAACACTCCAGGGATTTGATAATACAAGGTTGTCCCAAAAGTTCGTAAACACTCGCAAAAAAAATTAAATATCAATATTATTCGCAATAATAATTTTCGCCGTTATGTATAATGTCTTTGTGAAAATTCGAAACTATTATAGAGGCGTATGATTCTTTTAAAAATAAAACAATCTCTACGCGTCTATAATAGTTTCGAATTTTCATAACAGATGGCGCGCTAATACATCATAATGTCTTTGTATTATGTATAAAGTAATTGTATTATGTATTATTATGTTTTTCGCCGTTGTAATATTATTCGCCAAGTATTAAGAATAAAACGTTTTAAGAAAAACATGAACTTTAGGGACAACCTTATATATATCAATTAAGAAAAAGGCATCTCCATATCGTGCAACTGAAAGTTGCTGATGGCTTGCGCCATCTATCGGAATAAATATCAACTATGAGGTACAGCTTGCACCACGCTGATGAGGGCCAACAGCCCGAAACGCGTCCGTGGTTAGCTTTTCTTGATTGATCAAGAATGGGTATTTGGCCAATTCTGGAATAATTAAAAATCAACGAGAATAGTTGATATTTATTCCGATAGATGGCGTAAGCCATCAACAACTTTCAGTTGCACGATAAGGAGATGCCTTTTTCTTAATTTATGCACCTTATCCCATTACAATATTGCATTTGTACTATTTTTTCACCTTATATATATCGTATGAAACAACACCAAGTTCCAGAATAACTTTATTTGGTGCCGCTCAAAAAGAGAAACCTAGATCAACCTAGTTACAACAATTAGTGAGGGATGTGTGGTTATATACAAGGGTTCATTTACAATTATATTTTATAATACAATATAATGCATCTTATGATTGTAAAACGGCATTTGAAAATTATCCCGCATGTGTTTCTTTTGAAAGAAAAATCGAAACTTATTTTAAGGAGAAACAACGATTATTTGTAACCTTAGGGATGAAGTATGAAAGGATGAATTGTGAACGGAAAAATATGTCCAGAGTAGAGAGCCTAGTGGACATGGCATCTGCCCGGTAAGCGGAACACTGTGGGTTCGATTCCCATCCCTGGACACTTTATTTTTCCGTTTATCATTACTCTTTACAATTCATCCTATCATACTTCATCCCTAAGGATAGAAATAATCGTTATTTCTCCTTAAAATAAGTTTCGATTTTATCGTTCAAAATAAACACATGCGGGATAATTTTCAAATGTCGTTTTACAATTATATTTTATATTAGTGTGTTTGGGTCCTCAGGTCATTGAATATCTTGTTCTTAAGGAGGTTTTTTTCTGGCTTGTTTAATATTCATGGTGGGTTTATTTTTACTATTTACCCACTTTTCGTCATTCTGGCTTAGTTGACGAAAGTATTGTTTCGGTTTTAAATTTCTTTTTTCCTTGTTCTGCATTTATAGTTTGTGACTTCCTTGAATGTGGGGTTTTCAATTTTTTTCAGATTTTTCGTAGAACTTAAATGATTAATTATGTATTCGTTGATATTTTCGATATTGAGATCGTTTCTGAGGATTGTGTTTCGATCGAACCAGGGTGAGGACATAATTTTCCTGATCATTTTATTCTCAAAAACTTCAACTTTTTAAAGGATGCTCTTTTGTGCTGTCATAGAAATTGGGTGGCCATAGATCAGTATTGGTCCTATCATTGATATGTAAATGGTTCTTTTGCAATTCAGAAATAATTTGCTTTTCGGTCCAAGTAACAGGGATAGTCGGTGTTGTGCTGCCTTTGCTAGATGGATCCTGTTTCGATGTGTTTTTAAAGGTTAGAGGCTTATCTAGGGTCATCCCTAGGGGCCGAATATTGTCTTCGAAAACTAAAAGTTTTTCAATTTTTTTATATTTTTTATTTTGTCTTTTTTTTTTCTGAAGAAGATTATTGCTTCACTTTTCTGAAGGTTCATTGTGACTCATCATTGTTTGCACCAAATCGTGTAAAAGATACTGGAAAAGATATTATAAATACCATAAATAGGGTGTTGTTTAGAAAATATCAAATACGAAGATTTTGAGAAGAATTAACGTTTTATAAAATGTTGGCTATAATAGATTCAAGAAAAAGGAGCGCATGTTCCTTATTAACATACTGTCCCCTGAAGTCCCTCGTTTGTCAACTGACGAGCCACTAGGACAGTGGAAAAAATTGTCCACGCTAATTGTCTTTTTGATGCTAGCCTGTTAATTAACCTAAGATCTAATTGACCTGCTCTGCATTTTCTCTAATTTACTTTATTAGGTTTTTTGTAGCGCTGTAATCAGAGTTCTCACATTTTCCATTCATGTTTTTCTACGAACTGGGTCAAGGTTTGTTTTCTATTCAGAGAACAAAGGGCCCCGAGGAAAGTTGGTGTTTAACCAAATCATCCATTTAAATAACGTTTGTATCTTCACCATTGTGGCTACTAGTACAACACTTGCACTAGTAATAGGTTGCATTTTAGAATGCTGAGTGTTGCATTTTTTAAATCATAATATTCAAAATTTATTTATTTAACAGTTTCAAAGACAGGCCATATCCACAATTAGGATAATTGAGTGTAAATCTGATATTCAAATATATAATATTCAAAATGCAAATAATTTTTGTTTAAATTTCACGAAATATTGTGAAATTTTCAAATCTAAATAGATTTATTTTTAAAAAACTGTACTTGATTCAACGTGTATTTCCTTTCTTGAATGAGAGACATATTGGAGCCCATTCTTTGACATCCTCTTTGGAACATCCAGCTTCTTCATAACGCCTTCAAAATGATGACCCCCAAATCTCTGATTTCAGGAACAAGTAAACTTCACAAGGGCATTATCAGGGCTATAGGTAGGCTGCGTTACACATTCGATGATCCTTTTGGACAAATATTTTGCAAACAACTTGGAGATTTGTGAGGCTGAAAGGTGTCATGGAATAGCCGCAGACCAATTCGATGCAGTTCAAGCTATTTTCGTCAAAAAGGTTACTTGGTGTCTTCAAAACTGTTTTTTTTTTAATTATACATAGTAAACGTTGTACAGGCCATGATAATCATGATGGGTAGAAGTTGGCGACTGCTTTTACTGTAAGTGCACCACATGTTTACACATGTGAAAAGCAGTTCGACTTTTGCACTTACAAATGTGCCAGAGCCCCGTTTGATTAATTACACTCGCTGGTGGGTTGGACTTTTGATATAATCGGGACCATTGGAGTATTTTTTAATCAGAAAAAGTGCCTAATGCGGGATTCGATCCGGGTCGTAGCGGTCGAAAACCAACGGTTTAGACCATCCTTCCACCGACTCCCTGTGTTAAATATTAATTAGTTTAACTGTTATATATGAGGGGTACTTCATGTTGGAAAAATAATTATCCAGAAGTCGAATAAGGAAATTAGTCAATATATTTGATGATGAACGGAGAACCATCTTTGGCGCAAGAGATTAAGACCTTTCCAGACTGGGTTCGTTTGTTTGCCTCCAGGATCATGACGTATCCAACCCTAATTGCTTGTGATGATGGAATCCAGGTAGGCCTGACCATGTTCCATTACCAGAATTTGAAGTCGCACTTCTATTCACATTTTCTTCAGGTCAAGTTTCTACAGTATCTCGCATATACACATCTTATATCCAAACGGTCATTCAAAGAGTAAATTCTCTTACGAACAATGGCGAATGCTATGTTGATTACAATCTGCGGCCCGCTCAGGTTTGTTGTACAAACACGGCTTCATGGATCATCACCATATGGAATTTTTTTCAAATTTCCGCGGCTGATTTCTTCAAAGAGACGCAGAGAGGTTGTATACTGCTCCTTGCACTCCGTTTTCCGTAGGCAAGATGTCCCTGGAACTTTGGGGCGTGCGCAGATGTTTCCATTTTTATGACAAGCGAACTTGAGACTCACATTTGTGTTCATTGCTTTTGGCCAGAGCTTCAAGTTACAATATAAAATATTTTTTTACTATTTTCCTTGTTGGCTATATACATTACAATATTACATACTCTAGGTTAATACCCTTCTCTATGATGCATCACTTTCACAGATATTTTACATACACACATCTATAGAATTCATATCTCAATATATAAAATAAAAAGTTCAAAGGAGAAACGAAAACAAACTTTCCTCTTTGGTTTAAATAAATTCTACAAGACCGCAGTCACCGTTCGGAAGAGATTAATAGAATCGCCGAATGTCGTGGTCCAATTTGAATGAGGAAAGCAAAGATTAATTCCACACTCGCCTTTTCAGTGATACGCTAACCTATGTATGAAGGATTCTGTGGCCACTAGACATGCGTCGGACCTGGAGGTTGTTGGGTTTTGCGCTGCCTGGAGTATAGGAGCTCCATCTTAGCTTTTTTCCTGAGGTGAATCTGTATAAGACCGGTGGTCTTAACAAAGCTGTATGCGTGTATGTGTGTGCTTTTTATTTGGGACTCGCAATTTTTTCTTCAAATATGGTATATCTTTTTGAAATTGGGTTTGTAAGAAAACATTTCTGTGATTCATCTGTTTGATTGTATTTTAATACGAAGCAAATGTCAATTTGAAATACAGTCATGTTGGCTAGTCTGAACAGGCGGCAAACTACTGGCGATAAACGCATGTTTTTAATCTATTCTATATTAAGTAGGGGAGGTCAACTAATGAAGTGGAAGAAACATAGGAAAGTGAACATATAATCTTTATACTCAGTATGTTCCAGACTTTGCTCTGTTTACATTTTGCGAAATAGCTCTATTTTGATAAATTTCTCTTCCATTCTAATTTCTACCTTTAAAGGGGTGTCTAGTGGCAAATGATAAAAGTTATTAATAGAAAACACAGTTTAGATTTACCTATTCATATAAAGGCGTATTGGATAAACGGTGTTTTCATTTAGAGAAAAGTTCAGAATAAGGTTTTAGCTTATGAAAAATTCAGGTTATATATAGTAAAAAATACTTGAGATAAAGTTTAATATTTTTCTGGAAAAAAAGTTTAATTTCAAGTTGGCAAAGAAATCTTTTTTTAACCAGTAACATTCTACTCAGTAAAGAGTTTTTTTTATGCGTGTAAGAAATTGATGTTAAAATATTTGTGGTCCCTCTATTCATAACGATTTTTAATAAAATTATTTTGCATTTGAAATTTGTCATTTATTCCATTGTATTGAAAATATGAATAGAAGAAAATCTCTATGTTATATATATGCGCCTCATCCCCAAACATTGGTCAATTCTACCTCGTAAATATCAGGGGGAAGGCAGGTTGTTGTTGTCGTGTCCAATGAATAGCCTCAGATGTATCCATGCATCTCTATCACAGCAGTTGCAATGTCCTCTATCTTGAGTGTGTAAAGCTGCTATTGGCTATAATAATATAGATGTGGTATTTTTAAGGCTCAATAGGATATTTGTCTGTCCGACGACCTGTCTAATCACTCCAGGCGTGGCTACAGCGGAGTCTGGGCGCCAAGAAGGAACGCGCTCTCTTTCTCTTCTCTGACCTTCTCCTCATCACCAGCATCAAGAGACGGAGCGGCTCCAGTCGTAAGACCTCGGGAAATGCGTAAGTATATTCAACAACAACATAATTCTTTAAAAATAGACACTTCGGCCAGTTAAAGTTTTATTTTATCAACGTTTCAACAAAAATCTTTTGTCTTCGTCCGAAGAAATTAATTAAAAATAAAGCATTTGACAAGGCGTTAAAAATTATTCTGGGATTGCAAGGGAGTTCTCACGCGATTTTTCAAATTTAGTACAATTATTTTTGAGAGGCATTGGTCTATAGTTTGACCCTTCATCAAGAAGCCTCAACTGATTTTCTGGAATTATATAACTAGCTTTCGAATGTTATTCTGATAATAACTTTGAAGACAATTCTATTACACCTCCATTTTATTTTTCTAACCTCTTTTTAAAGGCTATATTGCTATTGTTAGGTAGGTTTATTGTTAGATATGTATTTCTATTGTTAGATATATATGGCTATTGTTAGATATATATTTCTATTGTTAGACATAGGTTTATTGTTATATATATATATATATATATATATTGCTATTGTTAGATATATATTGTTATTG